CCTCAGCACTGCGTTTGAACAAGCGCGTAGAGCTGTGGTTAGTGAGAAGAGCCGTGAAGGGACAGGAAGGACTCAGGGCACAAAAGGAGGCAGGGCAAAGCGGAGGGGCACTCGGGACCACCAGGACGGGGCAGTGCCCTGAGCTGCCATGCTGAAATGCCATCAGCTCACCCAGCGTTACAAGGAATAGGACATCGATGTCCACGTATGCAATTGTCACTATCCCTATCTGTTATTAAATGAACTATAAATATGGTTTTACTGAGTTCAAGCCTTGGCAACAAATTCCAAATTGGTGAACTTTTAGAATCCTAGCTTATTTGTATGTGTGCTACATGCAGCATGTGCACTAGATATAATTTACTCCATTCAAGGGAAGCCGTTCGGTCTGTTATGAAGACTAAAACGCAATTCTACAGTGTGGCCGACTTGGAGTTCTGGTTTCCAACTCACAGAAATTAGAAGTGAGAGAGGGTCTCCACTAACAAAAACGACCACATCAGCAAGAAATGACAAGTAACAACATTCAGAGGAAAGAAAACAGGCAACTCTAAGGTGCCCGCCCAAGAGCCAGAAAGCACAGCAGTACCTCAGACTCCGTCGCAAACTTCTGTGACAGAAAACCGATGGTGAGAGTCGACCAAAAAAATTGCAATTTGGAATCAGTATATTTAATTTTTAAAAGTTGAAAGGGAACCGAGAAATTTGGGAATATTTTTGTTCAAAGGGGAAAAGCAAAAAAAAAAAAAAAATGTGCTTTTGAAAAAAATTGGCTACCCAGAACAAGTTGTCAAGGAATGTGGACAATTGAGGTCTGTACTGGGTTGAAGATCGTCTCCCACCAAGTTCACGTCCACTGGAACCTGTGACTGTGACCTGATTTGGAAATGGGGTCATTGCAGATGGATTCAAGTGATGATGGAGCCACCTGGATTCAGGTGGGCCCTAATCTAGTGACTGGTGTCCCTGTAAGAAGAGGGAAATTTGGAAACAGTCAGAGGGCAGAGAGCCACGTGAAGATGCGGCTGAGGTTGTAGTTATGTTGCCAAAAGACAAGGAACTCCAAGAATGGCAAGGAAGGGCCGCCCGTTAGAGTCTTCGGAGAGAGTGTGGCCTACAGACACCTTGACTTCAGACTTCTGCCCTCAGGATCTGTGAGAGAATTCAGTTCTTTGTTTAAAGTCACCCGGTTTGTGGCACTTAGTTTTGGCAGCCCTAGGAGACTAAGACAACAAGGTCCCATGCCTGGTTCCTTCAATTAATTCAGACAGTTGCTTTTGAAAAAGGTCGGTTTTGTTTGTGTCTACCACTTGCCAGACACCATTCTAAGCACTTTTCATGGGTCAACTCACTTAATCCTTACAATAACCATCTGAGATGGATATTATTATCAGATGAGAAAACCTCCATGTACTTCGAAGCTCTGTTGTTACAAATGAGAACATGAAGCAGAAAGAAATTAAGGAATTTGCTCAAGTTCACTCAGCTAGTGAGTTTTAGAATTAAAAAGTTGGACTCAGGCAGGCCGGCTCCAGAATCCCGCTCCACTGCCAATATGACACGTTTTGGAACCTAAGTCATCTAAACCAGTTGTCTTCAAAAAGCAAATGATCCAGATAATTCACTTAGCATCCTTGTGGATGATTCAGGTCAAAGGTTAGCACAACAAAGTACAGTGGGTTTTATGGCTCATTAGTGATTTCTCTACCACTATCGTATGTTCTAGCAATATGGTTCCTTGCATTCATTCTCTGACCATGCCACGCTCTCTCACATATTGATGCCTCTGAAATAGTCATTCCTATTTCCTGGAATGCTCTTTCTGGCTTCGGCATTTTAAAAATGACATCTTATCTTTGCATTTGCACTTTAAAAATTGCATCTTATCTTTCAAGTCACAGCTCATATGCAATGGTGTATTTAAAAGCATATGCATGTGGCCAGGTGTGGTGGCTCACACCTGTAATCCCAGCACTCTGGGAGGCCGAGGTGAGAGGATCGCTCAAGGTGAGGAGTTCAAAACCAGCCTGAGCAAGAGCGAGACCCTGTCTCCATTAAAAATACAAATAAATTAATTGGCCAACTAAAAATATATAGAAAAAAATTAGCCGGGCATGGTGGTGCATGACTGTAGTCCCAGCTACTTGGGAGGCTGAGGCAGGAGGATTGCTTGAACCCAGGAGTTTGAGGTTGCTGTGAGCTAGGCTGATGCCACAGCACTCTAGCCCAGGCAAGAGAGTGAGACTCTGTCTCAAAAAAAAGCATATGCATGTAACAACAGAGCTTCAAAATACATGAACCAAAAACTGACAGAATTTAAAGGAGACTTGAACAAATCCACAGTCGTAGTTGGAGACTTTAACTCACCTCTCTCGATTGTAGAACCAATAGACAGAAAATCAGCAAGAATGTAGAAGACTTGAACAGCACCATCAGTCAACTGAATCTAATTGACATTTACAAAACAATTCACTCCCCCCCAAAAAAATACACATTCTTTTTAACTGGATATGAAACATTCACCAAGATAGACTATATCCTGGGGTATTAAATAAATCTTTATAATTTAAAAGAATTCAAGTTATACAAAATATATTCTTGGACCATAATAGAACTAAACTAGAAGTCAAAACCAAAAAAATATCTAAAAAGTCCCCTAGATGGTTAGAAATTAAATAATTCACTTAATTCTTATAATAACCATTCGAGGGGGATATTATCATCATGCTCATGTTACAGATGAGAAGTGAGGCAGAGAGAAACTGAGGAACTTGCCCCAGCTCACTCAGCTAGTTAGCACTGGAGTCAGGAATCGGACTCGGGCAGGCTGGCTCAATTCACACTCTACTGCTCACCTGACACACTTCAGAGCCTAAATTATCCAAACCAGTGTTTCCATCAATCAAACAATCCAGATAATTCACTTAGCTTCACTTTGGGTAACTCAGGATACTTTTACTAGTTATAAAATTCTAGGTTTCACAGGGTTTTCCCTCCATAAGCACTTTCAACATGTTTTTCTATTGTCTTCTGCCTCCATTGTTTCTGATCATTGTTCTCCTACATGTAATGTGTCTTTTCCCCTTTGGCTTCTTTATCTCTGGTTCTTAGCAGTTTGCCAGTGACTTGCCTAATGACAGTTTTCTTTGAATTTGTCCTGCTTGGGATTTGCTGAGCTTTAGGGTCTATAAGTTGAATGGCTTTATCTCAAATTTGGAAATTTGGCCAACATTTTCTTCAAATAAATGCCCCATTCTCTCTCTCCTATTCTTTTGGGATTCTAATTACATGCCAGATATTGTCTCACAATCTTTAATGATCTGTTTATTGTTTTAAAAAATCTTTTACTCTATTTGCTTCAGCTCAAATAATTTCTTTTCATCTGTCTTCAGATTCACTGGTCCTTTCTTCTGTAATTAAGCTTATCTGATGATTTTTTTTTATTATTTCAGATATGTGTTATTCAATTCCAGCATATCCATTAGGTTCTTTTAAAAAGTCTCCTGGCAGCCACTAGAATATAACCTCCATAAGGGCAGGACATTTCATCCACTTTGTTCACCGTGTTATCCCTCTTCCCTAGAACTGGCATGATACCTGTTCATGGACAGATGTATGACTCCATCTCCTTAGATGTGGCTGACGGGATACGGAAAACACAGACCTAGTAATAGTCTGGGAACAAACAAGGGATGGTACAGTGCAGTTCTTTTTTCTGTTCTGATGATCTCGAAGTCTGCTGTTCCTTCTCCTGAAAATCTTCTATTCAAGATGTTGTTGATTATCTTAGTTTGGGTTTTAAAGAAGCAGACCTTTGAGAACCCTGAGACGAACATTCCAATGTAAGTAGTTTATTCTGGAAAGGATGCCAGGAAGTATCTATAAATAAGTTGGGAACTGGGATGGTAGAAGAACGGCAGCCAATAAAGGATGTATTATCGAGAACATCACCAGGTGAACAGCTGGAGCTTATTCCCAGAGCAGGATCCTGGGAGTCGGTGTAGGGTTGTCCCATCCACTGGATGAAGGATCTGAGGCTTTTATACACCATTCCCATCAGTCACTGTTGAGGGCTGCTGGCGTGGGGAGAGGGAGTTAATTCTCCCGTGCTTTGGTCTGCCATGCTGGCATTCTTGGGGAGAGCAGGCTCCAAAGCCAAAGAGAGACGTCAGACGGTCAGGAGTCCCGCCCAGTGCCCTGCAATGGTGACCGTAAGGGGATCCGGGCTGGGAAACTTCCTCAGGTGCTACCCTGATTGACTCTGCGAGTAAGTGTCCAGTAAGACACAACACAGTGCTGGACCCACATCAATATTAGCCTAGAGTAGCAGGTAAATCAGATTTTGGAATCAGCTCAACTTGGGTTCAGTTAGAATATCTTCTATCTACCTGCCTTGTGACCCTGAAAGAATTGCTTAACTTCTCTGAGCTTCTGTTTCCTCACTTGTAAAAAGGCACAAAGCATAAGGTTGATGTAGAGTATAAGCAAGAGAGTGCCTGGCACAGAGTCATCACCAGAAAAGAAGAAACTTACACGGCTTCCCTTCCCCTGGCTTTGGAATTTCAGGCATCAGTGCACCAGGAGGAATTTGTATGGAGGGCATGAGGAAAGGGAAGGCAGCTTTCTGGCATTTCTGAACTAGAATACAGAAGGAATACCTCTTTGCCCTTCTTCCTGGCTTCCAGCGTGAGTGCCGAGAAGAGTAGGTACAATTTACAGAAATGCAGATGCTGGCAAGGGTAGTTGTTTCCGGGCAATGGTGACTAAGCAATTCCATTAAATATTTGGATATTTAGTCCATAAGAGGCCAAAAATCTGAACATTGCCCTAGATTTTGATAACGTATTAGTTAGAATAGAGCATTTTTCGCAAGTGTATTTATACTTTAATAGAGATCACTGGACTTGCGTTAGAAAACTTGAGTTTGAACTCCAGCTCTGCCACTTATTAGCTATAATTGGACAAATCATTTGACTTTTATAGTCTGCAGTTTCCTCGTCCACAAAACGAAATTACATCTACTCCATCTCATAAGGGGATGAAGTGAAAACTATGTAAACCATAAGGTGCTACTATAAAAAGCATGAAAACGTTGTTACTGTTTTATAAAGATGAAAACATTGTTGTTACCAATAACATGAGGAAATATTTCTGCAGGCTATCAGTCTGGGCAAGACCATTATAAATCTTTCCAAATACCCATTGTAATAGGATGACAACATGAAAACAACTCTTAGACAATTATTTTTAATAAAATTAGGTGGTAACATTTCCCCAGGAACCCCAGAATAGTTGTGAGTAGGACCAAACCACAACCATCAACAAAACCTGCTTGTAACCCGGTGGGGCTCGCAGCTGGGTGAAGTGAACTTCAAGGGCAGAAGAAGGGGAATTCTCATGGTGCCAGGAGCCAGTGAGGTGCTGATGAATCAGCTCTCTGAAACAAGCAAACATAGCCAAACTTGACTTGCAGTGCTGGCTGATTTTTGTGGTGTGAATAATCCCAACATAGTTAATGTCACTAACTGCAGATTTGGGAAAAGCTACATAAATCAAGTCTTGCGAGCCGGTGTTAACTGAGAGTTCTAGAATCAGCCTTAGAGCCACTGCTTCATAACACAGAGCTTGCCAACAAAAACTCCCCCTCCCATGAAAGGGCCCCACTCTGAGAGGAAGCTGGGATGACCTAGGTCTTTGGGGACCTCAGAAACACTCAGCAAAAACTCCTCTGGGAGGAAAAGGACCTATCCTAAATTAAAAAAAAAAAAAATACTTCTGGTAGTAGTATCTAGATTGATCAGATCAGAGCATTGGGTGTAAAGAGAGAGCAGGTACAAAGGAAGAAATGCTAATAGCTGTGGGTATGGATAAGAGAATGGCCATTTTAAAGAAAATATTGACATAAAAAAAGAATAGGGAGGCTTCCAGCCAGAAAGCCACCCTGGTCTATCTCCCATGCTCTGCATGAAAATGTTATCCTAAAACTACAGGAAAACCCATCTCATATAAATATAAACTTGAAAAAGAGAAACGTAATCAAGCCCCATTCAAAGATATTTTAAAGAAAAAAGGAAAATGAACTGAATATTGTATCAGTATATCAGAAGGCACAGAAAAGGCTGGAAATATATCTCCACAAAGCAAATGAAAAATGGGTCCTAATATAAAATGAGCTCAAAATTTCAAAAACTATAAAAGCTACAGAAACATAGCATAAGTACATTTTTAAAATCTTAGAAATTAGATCACTAAACAATAGACATGTGTCAAATAAAATCTGAGAGCTCAGAAAAAGATAGAAAATAATATTTTGTAAATTCAGACTAGCTGGGTGCAGTGGCTCATGCCTATAATCCCCGCACTTTGAGAGGCTGAGGTGGGATGATCGCTTGAGGCTGGGAATCCAAGACCAGCCTGGGCAACACAGCGAGACCCTGTCTCTTGCAAGTCCGGCAGAAGGATTGCCTGAGCCCAGGACTTTCAGGCTACAGTGATCATGCCACTCCACGCCAGCCTAGACTACAGAGTAAGACCTTGTCTCTTAAAAAAAATTAAATAAAATAAAGATTAAGACTAAACTAGAAGTTACACAAGAGCAAATAGACATCACAGAAAGCATAGCAAGGGAAATTGAGATTAGAAAGGAGAAAATAAAAAATCAGACAGACATAAAGAAGAAAAAGGATTTTTAAAAAAGATATAGAAGATAGGCAGAGAAAATTCAACAACATAACATCGAAGCTCCTAAAAAAGAAAATCCAGTGGGGGACAGTGGCTTGCTCCTGTAATCCTAGCACTTTGGGAGGCTGAAGCAGGAGGAACGCTTGAGGCCATGATTTCAAGACCAGCTTGAACAAGAGTGAGCCCTGGTCTCTACAAAAACTAGAAAAATCAGCCAGGGGTGGAGACATGTGCCTGTAGTCACAGTTACTTGGGAGGCTGAAGCAGGAGGAACGCTTGAGCCCAGGAGTTTGAGGTTGCTGTGAGCTATGATGAGGCCACTGCACTCTAGCCTGGGCAACAGAGCAAGACCCTTAAAACAAACTTAAAACAAAAAACTATAAAACTTTTAGAAAAAAATAGGAGAAAATCTTTAGGCTCTAGGGCTAGGCAGAGTTTTTAGACTGGACACTAAAAATATAATACATAAAAGGAAAAATTTATCATTTGGATCTCATCAAAATTAAAATCGTTTGCTCTGTTCTCCTTTTTAAGAGAATGAAGAGACAGGCTACAGCCTGGGAGAAAAACTGATAAACAACATGTCAGACAAAGGACTGGTATCTAGAATATACAAAGAACTCTCAAAACTCAACAGTTTAAAAATTCCAATTAGAAAATGGGCAAAAGACACGAACAGATACTTCGCTGAAAACTATATACATGGCGAATTAACACATAAAAAGGTACTCGACTCGACACCATCGGCTCTCAGGGAATGCGAATTAAAACCACAATGAGCTACAGGGATCATCATGCACCTATCAGAACGGCTAAAATAAAAAGTAGTGAGGATACCAAAGGACGGCAGGGGTGCAGAGAAACTGAATCACTCACACGTTTCTGGGGGGAACGTAAAACGGTGCAGCCACTCTGGAAAACAGTTTGATGGCTTGTTATAAAACTAAACATGTAACTACCATAAGACCCAGTAATCGTACTCTTGGGAATTTATTTCAGAGAAACAAAAACTATGTTAACATATAAAATCCTGTAAACAAATATTCATCGCAGCTCTGTTCATAAAATTCAAAAACTAGAAACGAACTAGGTATCCTTCCGTGGGTGACGGGTTAGACAGTCGTGGTCCATCCGCCATGGGATAGTAATGGACAGTAAAAAGGAGCCGGTTGTTGATGCACGAATCTACCTGGATGAACCTCTGGGGAATTACACTGAGTGAAAAATGCTAATGCCCAAAAGTTACATATTGCATTATTCTATTTGTATAACATTTTCGAAATGACAAAACCATAGACATGGAGAACAGGTTCGTTGCTGCCAGAGGCACCGCGTGGGGTTGGGAGGTGGATCTGGTTATAGAAAGACACACGAAGAACCCTTGTAGAGACCAGTCGGTTCCGTATCTTGACTACAGTGATGGGTATATCGACCTACACAGGTGATAAAATTGCCTAGAACTAAATACGTACATATGCACACAAAATAAAGCTGGGAGAGTCTGAGGAGGACTGCTGGGGCGGATCAATGTCATATCCCACCTTGATCTTGTGCTCTAGCTTTGTAAGATGTTGCCACTGGGGAAAACTGGGGAAAAGGTACAAAAGATCTCTCTGTCATATTTCTTACAAATGCCTGTGAATCTCTAACTATCTCAAAATAAAAAGTTTAATTTAAAAAATGCAGTGCTCTGGGCTAACCATGTTCTTAAATCAATATTCCACATAGGGGACATTTCACCGACGATGACAATGATAATGGCGGTGGTGGTGGCAGTGTTGGTAATGATGCTAATTGTCGTTTACTGAGCTATCACTTCAGGCTGCAAGGGAGCTGAGACCTTGTCTGTGTTGTTCATTACTGTGCCCCAGACACCACTACCTACTGAACATGCATTTGCTGAGTAGTTGGTATTGAGCAAATACTTGTTGAATAAATAACGAACAATTCTGCAATATGCCTATGATAATGCTCACATTGCAGATGAGAGAGCTGGAACGAAAAGAGTTTCAGTAATACTCAAAGGTCAAACAACTTACAAGTAGAGAAGCTGGGACTGGCTAATCACAAAGTCTGTGCTATTAATAACTACTTCACAGCCTCCCAAAATGCTAGCATAGCTCCCAATACACCAACACGAATATTCTTTATTTTAGCAATAATCGCTTTCACTGCCTAGCATCTCTCATCCAAGCCTCGTGACAGTTCTTATTTTAGAGCTTATTTATAGTGCTGCGGCATCAGCTCCCTGCCCAGGCCTCATTGTTCCCGGAGCGTCATTGTGAGAGATTATTATTAGTGCCACTGTACACGCCAGGAAAAGGAGGAGCAGTGTGTTCAGAAAATCTGCCAATGACTAAAGCATTTTAAAGGCATGTTAGGCACCTTGGGAATTTCCATTAATTTCTGAAAACACTCTTAAGAATCTTACCCTATGGGTTTGTATTATTCCAATTTAAGTTGGCCACGTAAAAATCTGCAAGCAGGTCTACTGTCAAGCATGGGACATAGTTTGAAAATGATAGGTCTGGCTGTTTGGGGGAAAGATTACTTAGGAAGTAAAGAATAAGAACTGGAAAGAAATTCTCGAAAATGTTCAGAATGTTTATCACTCAGTAATGGGATTTTGAATTATTTTTGTTTTCTTCTTTATCTTTTTCTGCATTTTCCAAATTTTCTGCTATGAGTGTAAATTACTTTCATCAATAACATAGTAAAAATAAGAACATGTATGACCTAGGTCAAAAATTTCACAAACAAGTTTTTAGAATTCAAACCAGCCTGAGCAAGAGCGAGACCCCATCTCTACTAAAAATAGAAAGAAATTATCTGGACAACTAAAAATATGCAGAAAAAAATTAGCCGGGTATGGTGGCGCATGCTTGTAGTCCCAACTACTCTGGAGGCTGAGGTAGGAGGATCGCTTGAGCCCAAGAGTTTGAGGTTGCTGTGAGCTAGGCTGACGCCACGGAACTCACTCTAGCCTGTGAGACTCTCTCACAAAAAAAAAAGGAAATAAAGAGAGAGAGAAAGAGAGAGAGAAAGAGAGAAAGAAAGAGAGAAAGAAAGAAAGAAAGAAAGAACGAAAGAACGAAAGAACGAAAGAACGAAAGAACGAAAGAAAGAAAGAAAGAAAGAAAGAAAGAAAGAAAGAAAGAAAGAAAGAAAGAAAGAAAGAAAGAAAAGAAAAGAAAGAAAGAAAAAAAGAATTCAAGATACTCTGGAATAAAGCCATCTCAGCCCAGGTTCCCTAGATACTAGAGCTAAGGGCAGGCATCTGTGCTAACTCCGTACTGGGGAGAACCGCCCCAGGAAACAGCAGTGAGGGAGGGAGGGAGGGAGGGAGGGGAGAGAGGGAGAACAACCTGACAAACACAGGGCATTGCTGAGCCAGTCGCACACACCGCTGACTTTTCAGTCTCACGGGATGTCCTTGGAGAGGCTGAAGACACTCTGCACAGCAGCACGAGACAGTCCACGCGGGAGGAAAGGGAGAATCCCCCGCTGGCTGCCATCTGCCGTTGACTAGCGTTTGCCCCCCAGGACACCAGCTCCGCATCTCCTTATCCCTCGGGGTGTCTCTGGGCGGCCACCAGGAAACCAGCGGCCAGGACAGTAGCAGCAGCCTCCCCTGCCCTCGTGCGGCCTCCAGCTCCCAGGGCCCAGCAAGGTGGGACAGGGAGTAAGCGTGGGCGCCAAGAGGTCCCCAGCAGTCCCCTGCCTCTGCTGCCGCAGGGAAGAGTCCAGCAGCAGGTGAGAGGCAGGCAGCGGGTGCTATGGGATGGGGGCTGGCCCAGGGCACCACCGCAGCCAGGCGGCCGGGTAGCAGCGAGAGCTCCAGGTGACACTGCTGGCACCACATCGTGGGGACGAAGTTCAACGGGCCTCCCTCCAACAAAGAAGGAAAGGCCCTCTCTGGACACGTGGGTGGTTTAGGAGTCGTGGGCAGACCAGCCGCGCTCGCAGTGCTCCTGTGGCCGGCCGGGGGCACGTGCTGCCATCAGTGGTCCCCCCTGAGGGCTTCCAAGGAGAGCTGGAGGCCCAGGACTCCATGTGTCTGTCACTGACTGATGGCTCGATCACATCCTGGGCCTTGTTTTCAACGAGAAATTAAAGTTCATCCTGTTGTTTGGTGCAGAGAAAATACAGCAAAATCGTGCAGGCAGCTGTCGCCGAGACGCTGACATTGATTACATGTGGCCGGCGAGGATGTGCAGGGGGCATCGCCCAGACCCCGCGGGGCTGGCCTCTGTCCACCCAGGGCCTCTGCAGAGTGACCAGCGCCACAGAGACTCGGCGTGGATGGAATTGTGGGACGTGGCACGTCTCTCGCACTTTCTCGTAGTGGCAGAGAAGACCAGGGCTCCAGATGCGGAAAGTACAATTTTCCCACAAACAGGAGTTCCGGAGACACAAGCAAAGGAACGACGGACGGCGAGGGAGAGTGAGCTGAATCTCTCAGGGCCGTTGTCCAGCGTCTACTACAACTGTCCTGGTCACAGGCTTCGGGCAGGTCACTCAATTCCCAGTTTTGTGATCGATGAAAATGCCATAGGTTTCCAAAGTTTCCAAAAAGCAAAACATTACCTTTACGTGCGTTATACTTTACTCGACGAGCCCTCCAAAGGCAGGATTCTCGCGTCTCCAGGGGAGCGCGCTGCTGGAGTCCTCCCTGGCAGGCAGGACGCGGAAACCTGGCGAAAGACGCCAGGGCTGTCGCAAAGGGACACAGGCGTGGTCTGCGGCGCTGGCGGCCCACTGCGTCTGGTGGAGCTGTCCCTTCCCACCCGGGAGCCGTCGGCGTCCTCAGGGCACATCTGAGAGTTACAGTGAAGCTCAAGCTGGCGCGGAGCTGGCGATGGGAGCAAAGGCCACGCCTGGCTGGTTGCACACGTCCGTGCTTCCCTTCCTGCCTTCAAAAGCCTCGCGGCTTTGTTCTGATGGGACAGAGAAGCTTCCAGGTATTCTACATGGCTGTGGCCTGTGGCTTTACTGCCACTCAGGTGGGACAATTTTTTAATGACCGTGCTTTGACTGCGGGCAAATGACAAAAGGGCGTGGGGTGGGGTGAGGGAGGAACTCTCAGTGTGGATGTAAAGGTGAAAAGAAGCAGCAGCAGAGGGAGAAAGGACAGAAGACAGGGAAGAAGAGGAAAGAGGAATCCGAAAAACTTGGAAACAAATCATTTCCAAAGAGCAGGTCTGAAGCTTACCTGCGTAAGCAGGAAACAGTCATGACGTCCCTTCTAGTGCATCCGACGGCTGCGGGAGCTGGAGACAGAGCCGGGAATAAAACACTTCGTTTCGGCACTTTGAGTCCCGTTGCTCTGCTGGAGGGCACATTTAGGGAGTCGTGGCCAGACTGGAGTACCCTCTCCTGTTTAGTTAAGTCGTTGAATCCCTTTAGGTTATTGATGGCATCCCCTAAGCCAGAAGCCTAAATCTAGACCCGCCTCTGCAATCTATTATAAAAGTTGGGACGCCTCTGCGTGTCTGCGGTGAGAATTCCTCTAGGCCGTGTAAGACTGGAAATTTGGAAAGAACTGACTCAGTGCACATGCCAAGCAACAGATCAGAGTCACCAACACCCTTGGGAGCCTTCTGCTAAGAGAGAAGCGTCAGGGTTCTAACTGCAGTGGCAGCTCGTCTGCTTCTTCCTGGAGTAACCACCGGATAGGAGCAGATCTTTATCTTACGCAGGGCAGAATCTTGCCAGGAGTCCACGTTTCAGCGGGCATTCTGGCATCACCAGTCGTACTTCTGACAGAGCAGGGGGGTGTGCACCAGAAGTTTTGCAACAGCTATCTAGAAATCACATCCAAGTGTCAACGTGAGTAGCAAAGAGTAGATGTCTGACATACTACCTTCCAGTCCCAAAACAGTTCCAAAAGAGCAACGCTGAGATTAGGTAGCTAGACATACACTAAGACGCACTGATACTTACAGGGCGACCAGAAATCACATGCAAATACCTGCATCTCAACCTGGCCATTGGATGCCCAAAGGATGAAGAGGAGGGGTAGAGAAATAAGCACAGAATTGTAATTTGGGAACGTTGGGTTCTCACTTGGCTCTGTCACTAACTAGCCGTGTGATCTTGGGCAAGTCAGTCTAATTCTCTCCAGAATCTGACCCCTCTCCCCAGTTCCGCTGCTGCTCCCCTCGCCGTGCCATGGGGATCCTCGCAACATCTGCTCTCCCTTTGCACCCCAGAATCCACACGGCAGCCAGGGTGGTCTTGCGAAAGCTGGGTAGAGCGGGTTGCCCCTTGGCTCAACCCTGCAATGGTTCCTGTTTCCTCCAGGAAAAGCCAGGTCCCTACGATGACCAGGAAGGGCCTACAAGGTCCACTCTCTCTGACCACTGCAGCCCTCGCTCTCTCTGCTCCCATACTGACCGCCTCGAGCCCGTCGGGGAGCCCTGCTTCCGGGCATTTGAGTGGGCTCTTCTCAGCACCTGGAGAGCTCTTCCTCCAGCTGCTCAGAGCCAGCCTCCTCTGCTTGTCTTTGCTTCCATGCTGCTTTCTCGGTGAGTCACACTCTGGCCTCCTGGTTACCATGGCGACCCCATTCCCAGCACCCCACTCGCCCTGCTCTATTTCTTTTTCCATAGCATTTATCACCTGCTCTAATACTGTATGATATTTATTTATCATATTTACGGTCTATTATTTGTCCTCAAGACACATGAAGGCAGGAATCTTGGTGTATTTTGTTCACAGATATAACTGGACTGGCCTAAAAGAGCACCTGACACATCCTTAGTATCTAATAATTATTTGTTAAATGTGTGCATGAATGAACAGTTAGGGCACACTAATAAAGCTCTCCATCCATACACACATAGGGCTCTGGGTTGAGATGAAGAGAAGTGTCCAGCAGGTTTCCCACTCTGCTGCCTTCCCAGGGGTGGTAGGGGACACGTGACCAGATAGAGGACCCCGTCGACATCCAGGGGAAGCTGCCTCTTATACGTAAGGACGTTTGTTTCTGGTGCTTCTCCTGCCGGCTTGCCCACCGAGTTCTAACTCTCTCCACGGCATTTGTGAGGAGTCAAAGACCAATGACTGAGGAGACGGGCTGCTGTCAGCACAAGGTGTCCGACCGGGAAGGGTCGCACATGTAGCTCAGAGGCACTCACTTGTGCCACACGCCTTTGATGGAACGGGATCCCGTGGAGGGCTGTGCAGAGGGCAGAGCGAACTGCTCATGGGCAGGAGGGTGTCGCTAGCGCTGGCTGCACTGAGCACGTGCCCTGCAGCATTCAATTCTGTTAAGGTCCAAGACCTCTGCCATATCTCATTTACAAATAGCAAAGGGCAACTCAGCAATTCTGCAAGGATTAGCTGCCTATTAATTCCATTTTTAGCATTCAGGAAGTATATATATATTTTTAAAAATTCTCCTTGATCAGTGAATAAATCTTTTTCTAACCTCACCAAGCAATGATATCATCAACGAACAGCTAGATCCACGTCCCACAGCTGTTCAGGACATAAGTCCCTGAAGGCAGCTGCTATAGTTCCGGGGACTCTGCTGGTGGTGGTGGTGAGGTTCTTCCTACTGACAATTCAACAAGACAGCTGACCTTTGTCCCCCCAATCCTTTTTGGATTCTTTCTTGTCTGTATCTAGTTCGGTCACTGAGTTACCAACCAAGTGGCAAACCGTGGTATTTCACGGAAATGATTTTAGTAATGTGCAGGGCAGCACAGGCTGCACGCTTGTGAGCATCTAAGTCGCCTCCTGGCTACTGACAACTGTGTCCAGCCCCTTCCTTGCTGGGCATGGGGGAGAAAAGAGACTCAGAACCAAGAGCTCCCATCCGGCTGAGAGAGCACGTCCCTGAAAGACGCAGGAGATGGGCACCCACACAGGACATGCTAGAGGAGCCTGGCGGACAAGAAGGACCCTGAAGGCCACGCAGGCAGCGGCAGCTTCAGCTGCACCTTGCAGGGCCCCTGTAGCAGAGACGATGCTGTGTCCGCCACTGCTCCCCTCCCTGGGCACCCAGGAGACTGCCTTTTCCGCCTTCTCTGCAGCCAATTCTGGCCACTGGAATGGGGGTGGACATTCCGCATTTGGCCTTTTAGAGGGAAAATGACAAACCCCTAAAAATGTATCTTTCTGTCTCCTCCTGGCCGGTCCCTCTCCCTCCACACACAGCCCACCCAAGCCAGGCCTGCACCTCTGAGCTGGGTGCTTCTCGGGCTGGTTTGTGGCGACAGCTCGCGAGCAAACGTACTTGTGCTTCAGTGTGGACTAGAACGTACCTTGTCTCAGACACCTAGCCATGCGTTCACCCAAAGGGAATGTCAGGGTTACATTTTTAGACCTTTTCTGCAATCACCTTGCCAGGGAGCCACCTACTACTCCTACAAGTGGAACCTGTCCAAATAGAAACAGAGTTCAGTGCCAGGAACATGCCCTTGTTAATTGCAATCCTCGTCCTAGAACATTTATGTGGCTTTCACTGTTACGGGTCACTCAGGAGCAGGTTTGTGCATAGGACCCATCTACTGGCTCTCTTCCCCCTGGTGATGTGATCTTATGTTGCTTTTAAAAATAAACATTTATGGCTGGAGTTCGAGACCAGCCTGAGCAAGAGCAAACCCCCATCTTTACAAAAATTAGCTGGGCGTGGTGGCACACACCTGTAGTCCCAGCCACTCATGAGGCTGAGGCAGTAGGATTCCTTCAGCCCATGAGTTCAAGGTTGCAGTGAGCTGGGATGAAGCCACTGCACCCCAGCCTGGGCAGCGGAGCGAGACTCTGTCTCAAAAACACACCCCAAAATCCCATTTATTATATTTTCTTATGGGGGGGAACCACGTTTACTGTAGAAAACATTTCAGAACAAAGAAATAACATAAAGAAAATCACCGTGTATAAAATCACCTTATATAATCCAACAATCTGTAAACAATAGTTCAATGTATGGATGTTTTCCTTTGAGTATGTATTTGTGTGGCGTGTGCTTGTTTTGTTTTG